GAGCCACATGCGGCTCTTTGGCCCCTTGAGTGTGGCTCTTCCACAAAATACCACGTGCGGGCGCGCACGTACAGTGCGATCGAAACTTCGTGGCCCATGCGCGGAAGTCGGTATTTTGTGGAAGAGCCACACTCAAGGGGCCAAAGAGCCGCACGTGGCTCGGGAGCCGCGGTTTGCTGGCTGCAGTTTGCCGACCACTGCATTAGGACAGTTCATCTTCTCCCACGTGACTGGACGCTGGCCATCCGACTTGCCCTGCCTCTGCCTCTGCCCCTCGTAATGGACACCGGCTCAGTCAACTCTCCGCTCTCCATGCCCAGGCCTCACCAGCCCCTGCCCCATGCTTCCCTTCTGGAACTTTCCACTGACCATTCCCTTTCCCTGTCCCCCAACCTTGCTCCAACAGCATCAGCCCCCGTCCACCCCATGGCCCAGGTGGAAACCTGGGGCCTTCAGTGCCTTCCGGCCGCTCCCCTCCCCGGCCGGAGTCCTGGGCTGCTGCTGCTCCTCAGCCCCGTCTCCGGTGCAGGGAGGAGGGGCAGGTCCGACATGAGCGTGTGGGGAGGAGCGGGCATCCCGGTGGGGCAGGTGGCCTGTTCTGGTGCCGGTGGGGCAGTGGGGTGCCACTGCTGTGTTCCAGGGCCCCGTCGAGATGAGCCAGCACGGCAAGCATGGAAACTTCCAGGCCGCGGGCCCTACTCTCTCTGTTGATACAATTCAGCTCGATCCACTTAACAAACATTTACCCAGCGCGCGTGCCTCGTGGAGCTCCGGCCAGGGCCCGCGGGAGGCGCTCACCCCACCTGCCCCTGCGCCCTCTCCGCCTCCTCCCGCCTCCCACCCCTGTGTCCTCCTCTGCCCCTTCTGAATGCCTCTCAGGAGACCATCCTCCCTGCGCCTCTCGGGTCTCCATTCTGCCCTGTCTTCACACACGCACACGCACACACACACGCACACGCACGTGCACACACACATGCACACATGCACCAATGCACACACACGGGCACGCGCACACACACACGGCCCCGAGCGGTCTCAGGTGGGGGAGGGCAGGAGAAGGAGGCTGCCTCAGTGTCCACGCTCCTGTGGCCATGCTGTGAGGTCCCAGGACGGGGCCTCCAGGCAGAGAAGCCTCCTGGGGCGGGAGGGAGGGGTGTCTGGGCGCCGGACATGCAGGGTCCAGAGGGCAGCAGCGACCGCGATCTCCCACCGTCAGCGGCTGCCACCAGCCCCACACGGACATGCGTGTAGACACAGCAGGTCCAGCGCCCGGACGGGAGACAAGGCCAGAGACATACATGCGGCTGGGGGCAGGGCCTGGAGTGAGAGGCTAAGAATGGGAACGTGGCTTTGGACGGGCTCTAGGAGCCTGTGGAGGGAGGGCCTATGTCTCTTTGCCGCCCCCGTGCACCCAGCTCAAAGTCATAATAATAATAATAATAATAATGAAACCAGCACCAGCCTTATGCTTTCCATGTGCGCCTTCACTGGTCTCTAATCCCCTGAATCCTCCCAGGGTCCCTCTGAGGAAGGCACTGCTATGCTCCCCATTTTACCGCTGGGGAAATGAAGGCACAGAGAGGTTTGGTAACCTGGCCCAGGTCACACAGCCGGTGGATGGTTCAGACCCCGGGGGGATGGTGACCTACAGACGTGTGTGGCTTTTTTTTTTTTTAATATATTTTATTGATTTTTTACAGAGAGGAAGGGAGAGAGATAGAGACTTAGAAGCATCGATGAGAGAGAAACATCGATCAGCTGCCTCCTGCACATCTCCTACGGGGGATGTGCCCACAACCCAGGTACATGCCCCTGACCAGAATCGAACCCGGGACCTTTCAGTCCGCAGGCCGACGCTCTATCCACTGAGCCAAACCGGTTTCGGCAGACGTGTGTGGCTTTGATGAGTGAACAAACAGGCCGGAGGTGTCCCCCCACACTCTGACAAGGGGTGGGTGACAGAGCTGAGCTCTGCGCAGGTGGCCCTGCATGGGGGCAAGGGGCTTTCTTTTTCCCAGCTTGCCCCTCGGCCTGAGGATGGAGAGAAGTGAGTTCTCTTAGCCACTGGTGTTCGTTTATTTGTTCATCGGCTCATTCATTCATTCATTCATCAAACCCTAACTGAACACCCAGGCCCTGGTTGCTCAGGCAGAACTGAGACACGGCCCCTGCCCTCGCCCAGCCGGTGAGAAGGCGGCGACAGCCAGCACCAAAGGCAGCAGGCGCCGTGATCAGAGACTGGCCCCGTGGCCCTGTCAGCGAGCAGGATGGGGACGGGCTGAGCTGCGTGCGGAACAACATGCGTCTCTTTTGTTCTGTCTGGGAGGCTCGGAGCCAAACCACCCGGGGGGGGGGGGGGTGCAGGCACTGTTCGGCCCTGGCTCACTGGCCTCCGACTGTGTTCCCACGTCTCATCTCTCTCGCCCGCTTCTCATCTATCTGGCTGCCCTGGGGTCACTTCCTCCACCTGCCGAAAGCCCCTGCAGGATGCGAAGGGATGGAGAGCAGGCTGCCGGGCTCAGGTGGCACCGCCCGTCTGCCCCCAGCTCAGTCACATCTGCCCGGAGGTGGCCAGGACAATGCAAGAGCGTTGCTGACTTGATTGAAAACTTCGGAGACTTGATCTTTCTATTGTGGTCCGACGTGTGTGTCCCCATCCACACCTCCCCTCTCCCGTCCCCACGTTCTCCAGACCAAATGCAGACACATGAATGAGTGTGTGGCGGAGGGAGCGGTCCCTCTGGAGCCGCTGGACCGGACTCCGCAGCCTGGAGAGTCTGGCCCGTGCGTCACCCGCTGCGTGAGCCGCCCTTTATCACTAAGGTGAACGGTGAATTCATTCATCATATCCGTGTTTTGACCTTCGTTCTGAAGTATCTCCCTTCCCTCTCTCTGACTAAAAATAGCCACTTGACCCTGAGTCGGAAAGGCAGGGGGCCCTTCCCGGCCCTACTCCTCCCACCCCCAACCTTGACTTTCAACCCTACTGGTCATTTCTTTCTGTGTTTTTTTGTTTTGTTTTTTTTTTCTAAAAGATGAGAGCGCTATGCCCGACTGGCGTGGCTCAGTGGTTGACCTTTGACCTATGAACCAGGAGGTCACGGTTCGATTCCCAGTTGAGTCACATGCCCAGGTTGAGGGCTCGATGAAGGATCTAAACCAGTGGTTCTCAACCGTGGCTGCACCTTAGAACCACCTGGGAATCTTTTTAAAATCCTGATTTCTGGGCCTCATCCTCCGGAAATTCCGTTTGTTACTAATGTTGTGGCCCCACCCCATCACGAAGAAACAGAATTTCCAGAGGATGAGGCCCAGAAATCAGGATTGTAAAAAGATTCCCAGGTGATTCTAATGTGCAGCCAAGGTTGAGAACCGCTGACCTAAACTGTCAACAAAACTGGTCCCCTGCCCACCCTTCCCAACAGAGGCTGCCACGTGGCCGTTGACCGATCCAGGAGGAGCGAGCCCAGCGGGGAGTCCATCTCTTCGCTGTCCAGCTCCACCCCATGCTCTCAGAAGCTCACGCCACTGAAAGGCCCACCCGGCGTCTCTCAGGTCCGCATGGCTTTGTAAACAGCCAGAAGGCCACCACCCAGAGCCTCCGAGAAAGGCCCGAGGCACCGGAGCCATGCCACTCCTGGACCCGCTGGGTCAGAGGCCGGCGGAGTTCAGCGAGGGCACCTTTCTCGGCCCGGCCACCCCTTCCTCACACATCCGGCCACGTCCGCCGTTCAGGGCTTCTCGGGAAATCCCCGCGTTGCCCCATCTTCCCAGGAGACGGCCACTCTGATCTGCCCAGGCTGCGCTGGCCCTGTGCGCTCCGCCGGACGGATCCCGGCCCCGCGCTCGCTCCCGTTCACAGCAACACCCTCTGGTGCCCACGGTGCATGACCAGCTTGTAAATGTCGCTGCCAGGGGCTGGGTTCTTGCAGTGTCTTGTTGGAGAAACCGCCCAGGTTTTACCGAGTAGTTGGGTTCCTGTCACAAGGATGAAACCCATATTTTTAACCAGAAACCAAGAGCACTCAACCTGCAGGCAGCTGCGGCTCACGGGACTGTGTTGGCTGCGCTCGGTTCCAGGCGCCTCCATGCAGGGATGAACTTCTCATCAGCATCCCGTCCGCTAGGGGCCGTGATTTCTTTCATTGAAGTGAGATGTACATAAAATGAGCTATATGCCCTAACCGGGCATATATGCTCAGTGGATAGAGCATCGGCCTGCGGAATCAAGGGTCCCAGGTTCGATTCTGGTCAGGGGCATGTACCTTGGTTGCGGGCACATCCCCAGTGGGGAGTGTGCAGGAGGCAGCTGATCGATGTTTCTCTCTCATCAATGTTTCTAACTCTCTGTCCCTCTCCTTTCCTCTCTGTAAAAAATCAATAAAATATATTTTAAAAAAAACGAGCTATAGTTCATTTTTAAATGGACTATTCAGGGGCATTTAGCATATTCACAGGGTTGTGTGACATCATCTCTACTAGTTTCTAGACATTTGTATACCCCGCCCCGCCCCGCCCCGCCGAGGAAAACCCATAGCCATTAAACAGTTACTCCCTGCACTCCCTACCCCCTGACAACCACTCATCTACTTGCTGTCTCTGTGGAGTTGCCTGTTCTGGACATTTCATAGAAACGGAATCATAAAATGTGCTCTTTTGTGCCTGGCTTCTTTCACTAAGCGTGTTTTCTTTTTCTTTTTAGTTTCTCTCTCTTTTTTGCTCAATCCCTCAGGTGCCCCCACCCAACCTCTGAGCCCCCCACTCCAACAGCTGTCAGTCTGTCTCTGTTTTGCTTGTTGGTACATTTTGTTCACTAGATTCCACGTATGAGTGAAATCATATGGTACTTGTCTTTCTCTGTCTGGTTTATTTCACTTAGCACAATGCTCTCCGGGTCCATCCATGCGGTCACAAAGAGTAAGATTTTCTTCTTTTATATGGCCAAGTAGTATTCCATTGTGTAAATGTACCACAGCTTTTTCATCCACTCATCTATTGATGGGCACTTGGGCTGTTTCCATATCTAGGCTATTGTTAATCACGCTGCAATGAACATAGGGGTGCATATATTCTTTAGAACTGGTGTGTCGGGTTTCTTCAGCTAAATATCCAGAAGTGGAATCACTGAGGTTATTGGATTGTTTGTTGTTTTGGTGTTGAGTTTTATAACTTCTTTATAAATTTTGGATATTAACCCCCTATAAGCTGTATCATTGGCAAATACATTCTCCCCTTCAGTGGGTTGTCTTTTCATTTTATTGATGGTTTCCTTTTTAATTTGATGTAGGCCCATTTGTTTATTTTTTCTTTTGTTTCCCTTGACCAAGGAGCTATATCATAAAAAATATTGCTATAAAGAAATGGCCAAGATTTTACTCCTTATGTTTTCTTCTAGAATTCTTATGGTTTTGAGTGTAACATTTAAGTCTTTAATCCATTTTGAGTGTATTCTTATGTATGGTGTAAGAAGGTGGTCTAGTTTAATTTTTTTTGCACATATCTGTCCATTTCCTCCCAAACCATTCATTGAATAGACTATCTTTACCCCATTGTATATTTTTGCCTGCTTTGTCAAATATTAATTGACTATAAAGGTGTGTGTTTATTTCTGGGCTCTCTATTCTGTTCCATTGATCTATGTGACTGTTATCAGATAGCGTGAGTCCTCCAACTTTGTTCTTCTTTCTCAAGATTGCTGAGGCTATTCTGAGTCTTTTATTAATCCACATAAATTTTAGGAATATTTGTTCCAGTTCTGTGAAATATGCCATTGTTACCTTGATAGGAATTGCATTGAATCTATAGGTTGCTTTGGGTTTTTATCAAGGTTAATTCTCCCTACATGAACATAGTATATGCTTCCACTTATTTCTTCCTTCTTTAATTTCTTTCTTCAGTGTCTTATAATTTTCTGAGCACAGGTCTTTTACATCCTTGATTAAACTTATTCCTAGGTATGTTATTCTTTTTGAAGCAATTGTGAATGGGTTGTTTTCTTAGTTTCCCTTTCTTTTTAAAAAAATGTATTTTTGTTGATTTCAGAGAGGAAGGGAGAGGGATAGAGAGATAGAAACATCAATGATGAGAGAGAATCATTGATCAGCTGCCTCCCGCATGCCTCCTACTGGGGATTGAGCCCACAACTTGGACATGTTGACTGGAATCAAACCCAGGACCTTCAGTCTGCAGACTGATGCTTTATCCACTGAGCCAAACTGGCTAGGACTAGTTTCCCTTTGAGATAGCTCATTATCCTAAATAATAAAAGGCTAATATGCAAGGCCTCTAGTTGGTATATAAAAATGCAACTGATTTCTGGATATCTATTTTGTATCCTGTTACTTTCCTGAATTCATTTATCAGTTCTAGTAGTTTTTTTTGCTGGGCTCTTTAGGGTTCTCTATCTACAGTTTTAGGTCACCTGCAAATAATGACAGTGTTACTTCTTCCTTTCCAATTTGGATGACTCTTATTTCTTCTTTTTGTCTGGTTGCTGTGGCTAGGACTTCCAGTACTGTGTTGAATAAGAGTGGTGAAAGTAGGCATCCTGTTTTGTTTCTCATCTTAAGGGAAGCACTTGTAGGTTTTGTCCATCGAGTATGATGTTGGATGTGGATTTGCCATATATGGTCTTTATTATGTTGAGGTATGCCCTCTTTATTCTCACTTTGCTGAGAGTTTTTAGCATGAAGGGGTGCTGGATTTTATAAAATGCTTTTTCTGCATCTATTGATATGATCATGTCGTTTTTATCCTTCATTTTGTTAATGTGGTTTATCACGTCTATTGATTTGTAGATATTGTACCAGCCTTGCCTCCCTGGAATAAATCCCACTTGACCGTGGTATATGATCTCTTTAATGTAGTACTGGATCCAGTTTGCTAATATTCTGTCAAGGATTTTAGCATCTATGTTCATTAAGGATATTGGCCTATAATTTTCTTTCTTTGTAGTGTCTTTATCTGGTTTTGGGACTAGGATAATGCTGGTCTTGTAAAATGAGCTTGAGAGTCTTCCCTCCTTTTGAATTTTTGGACTAGTTTGAGAAGGAGAGGTGTCAGTTCTTCTTCAAATGTTTGGTAAAATTCACCTCTGAAGCCTTTCAGTCTAGGACCTTTGTTTGTCGGGAAGTTTTAAATCACTGCTTCAATTTCGTTCGTTGTAATTTGTCTATTCAGTTTCTCTGATTCTCCCTGATTCAGTTTTGGAAGATTGTATGTTTCTAGGAATTTATCCATTTTGTCCAGATTATCTAATTTATTGTCATATAGTTGTTCATATTTTCTTACAATCGTTTGTATATCTTTGGTGTCAGTTGTTTCTTTTCCTCTTTCATTTCTGATTTTATTTATTTGGGTCCTCTCTCTTTTTATCTTGATGAGTCTAGTTAAAGGTTAGTCAATCTTGTTTATCTTTTCAAAACCAGCTCTTGGTTTCATTGATCTTTTGTATTTTTTTAGATTCTATTTTGATTATTTCTGCTCTTATCTTTATTATTTCCTCCCTTCTACTCACTTTGGGCTTTGTTTGTTGTTTTACCAGTTCCTTTAAGTGGGAAGTTAGAGTATTTCTTTGAGATGTTTTCTTGTTCCTTGAAGGTAGGCCTGTAATGCTATGAATTTCCCTCTTATGCCCTAGGCCAGCCGTGGGCAAACTATGGCCCGCAGGCCGGATCGGGCCCATTTGAAATGAATAAAACTAAAAAAAAAAAAAAAGACCGTACCCTT